GCTTATGGATAAGAAGGACAAGACAGGGCCTGCAATACTTGCTGCTTTGTGAGCAGTGTGTAATGATTGTATTTCTTCATGAAAATTTAAACACTGTGCTTATACCCTCTTATTAATGTAATTCAATTAACAGTCAAGGTTGTATTTCTGAAATGGATAATGCATGGACCAATAGTCTCCCTTTTATCCTGGCTGACTTGCATGTTACTAAAAAACTTGGAGAGAGGTCACAAATACACTTTCCTGCATAACTTATTGGTTTGGATCTAACTTATTTCTATGTAGTGTTCCAAAATTCCTTTATTTGTTATTAATGAAAAAACAGTGTAGAAGCAAATTTTTGAGTCTGAGAAATGGCTTATCATTGAAAGAAACAATTTTGCTACAGCTAAACAGTTACTGGTAAGGACGGGGCTGAAATGACAAGGTAAGAATGCTTTTGAATTTGCAGAGAGAATGAAGAGGATGTTTAGGTTCCTCTGTTCCTCTAACTGCTTACTCTAAGGCAGTATATCAAAAGAAACTTTTTTATCTTTGTAGGTACAGTGCAGGTCCAGAAACGGCAGCAGCTGGTGACAAAGACACGTGAAATAAAAGATCTGAAAGATGACCTTTACCAGTGCCAACAAGAGCAAGGAGATCAAGTGCACCACAAAGTGGGGGTAGGTGTGAGCTTAGCTGGAAGTCATTGCATAATTCTGTTGTTATGTGGGTATTTTGCTCAAAGTGAAATGAATTTCTCACAGAAATCCATTAAATTTTTGTCTTTAGTAAGTTATTCCAGAGAACTTTCCCCTGAATTCTTGACAAATGTTTATGTTGGTTGAATTTGCTCTTGGAATGTGTTTAAACATGCTGGGTTTTTTGTCTGTAGTCTAGGAGTTATCTGGACACAGAGACTGTTTCCCTGTGATACAGCGCCCAGTTGTCATTAATGAGGACAGCTGAAGTAGAAAATGCTTGTAAAAACATGTTGAACCTACAGGTTTTGTGAATTTGCTTTCTAAATTATCAGTAGTTATTAGTTTTTTAAATACTTAAGCCATACGTCTGTTTTTTACTCTTGCATCATCCAGAGAGAAGATTAGGGAGTGGTTTTTTTTTTAGATTTTCTTTTATGTGTATGTTAGCAGCATTTGTACATAATTCAGTATGTTCTAGAGCTTGTCAGTGATGCCAGCAGACTGGGGAACTCCTTTTGTGTTACTATATAGTTACATGAACAGGTATTTTCAGATTTGGTTCAAAATCAGTTTGTGAATTTCTGCCCCAACAGCTAAATGCCTTTGCTTCTGCTAATTTTTTTGGTAATCTGTAAATCCAGTTGGCTGAACATAAATCAACAGCAAAGATGCACATTTTGATTTCCTTTTAAGATATTAGAGTTCATGTACCCAACTGACTATTCTTTAGCTAGTGAAACCACTACAAGTGAAGGGTGATGACCTCTGGCTGGCTGAGAGAGATTCTCACATGGTCTTTGTTGCCAAGAAAGTGTGTGATAAACAAACCCAACTGAGATAAACAAACCAGCTCTATTTTTGCATCTTGCTGCACATGTTTCATTGCATTAAAAATGACAAGTAAGCTCAGTTTGGGCTACCTTGGTTTTTCATATTTCTAGCTAAAATTGTAACAATTCTCATTGTAGTATTTCTGCTTGTTTTCTTTTTGTTTCTTTTAGTCACTCAAGGGAGATCTTGCCACATGTTTGACCTTTACTGAGGTGGAGAAGAAATCCTTTGATTCTCAAAAAAAAAGTCTTGCTGCAGAAAATCAGCACCTAAGAGAATCTCTAGAGAAAGAAGAAAAGGCTTTGGCCTCACTTCAGGAAGAATTAAGGAAGCTAAGACAACAAATTAGAAACTTAGAAGATAAAGGTAGTAGCACTGAATCTATTGTAATAGAAAATCAGAAACTAAGGGAGCATTTGGAAGAGGAAAAGCAAAGGAACAGCAATTTTCTCAGGCAAAAGGAAACACTCTTTGCAGAGGCACAGATGCTCAGGCGAGAACTGGACAAAGAACGTCATGTTACAGAAGCTCTGAAAAAGGAACTAGAACAGTTAAGTTCTCGTCATACACCTGACAGTGCTGATGATGATGATGAGACATTAAGAGAAAATCAAGAAATAGAAACTCTGCGAGGAAGACTGGCAGAACTAGAAAAGAAGCTAAACTTTGAGCAACAACGCTCTGACTTATGGGAGAAGCTGTATGTTGAAGCAAAAGACCAATCTGAAAAACAAGAAATTAATGAAAATGGACAAAAGAAAAGTGCTAAAGGGCAAAGTAAGAGTAGAAAGAAATCAAAGGAGACATTTTTTGGTTCAGTTAAAGAAACTTTTGATGCAATGAAAAATTCCACAAAAGAGTTTGTAAGACACCATAAAGAAAAGATTAAGCAGGCTAAAGAAGCAGTGAAAGAAAACTTGAAAAAATTCTCTGATTCTGTAAAGTCGACATTCAGACACTTCAAAGATACCACAAAAAACATCTTTGATGAAAAAGAGAAGTCATCAAGTGATAAAAGATACGAGGCAAACAAGAAAGCTCGAACTTTTTACCGAGACCATAACTCCTATGAGAATCTGAAGCACATGCAATACAGGGGACCTCACATGCCAAAAGAATCCAGAAATGGAAGGAAACATCATTTTACAACATATGAAAAAGATTCAGATTCCCAGAAATGTCTCAATGATCATTTGTGTAATAGGAAACATCAGTTTGCCCTAAAGGGCTGCTCTGGTATTTTTGAATGTGCTCATCAAGAATTCATTAGTCTCTTTAACAGAGTTTCGGATCCCATCAGGGTGGATGAATTTAATCGGCTAATGAGAAAGTATTTGCAGCAAGTTGTACATAACTTTCATCACTGGAGAGAACTAGAAAATTTCATCAATAAGTTTTTTCATAATGGATTGTTTATACATGACCAGATGCTGTTCACTGATTTTGTTAATGATGTCAAGGATTACCTGGAAGATATGAAGGAATACCAAAGTAATAATGAGAAGGTTTTTGAGGATTTGGACAAATACGTCTACAGATACTACTTCCATTATGATAATTCACCCCAGTATGGACCCAGGTTTGTTTCCATGTTTCCTGTACTTGATAACACAAAGAAGTGTTCTTTTTAAAGAAAACCAATGTCCTTGTTGTAATGGATGGTCTTTGAGCAGGTATGTGTATGTATGTGTGTGTGTATACATATACACACACACATATGCTAGACTTTCTGAAGGACTTAGTGGAAATACTAGATGATGTTATATAAAGTGGATCTGTAGAGCCTTTATATAAATTTTGTGTGTGTGCTTAGCACAATCTGATGTTTCTGCTGGGTTCTTTAGAAAACTGTAACTGGCATTAGGATTTCTTTAGACCAAACAGCTCTGATTGCCCATCTGAAGCAATGAGGAACTGTCTTGGGGCATTAACTGGAGCTTCCTTTTTGTCCTTTGCTGAATGAGGTTTTTGACTACATTTAGGGTGTCTCTGAGTCCTGTTCTGGCAGATACATTTCACTACTCTCCTGTAGATTAGTGTAATACTGGGTTAGTCTGTGTGCCCAGAGCAGAGCCCATCACACAGCAGGCTTCAGTTCAGATCCTGACCCTGACTAAGTTTTGTTCAGACTTGCTCACAATGGTCCTTAGTGTCTATTGTTTCCTACATTCCTTTCCTGCATCTAAAGGTGTTCTCAGGGCTTTACAAATTTACACTTGTATTATTTCTCATTTCATGTACTTTACTGCAGCTGCAAGTCTGAACTATTAACTACTTTGGGGTTACTAAGTATTACGTGAGGTAGCGCTTTCTCCTATTGAAAGCTGAACCGTGAGGGTGATAGTCTTATTATCAGGTACCCAGTTAACATGGTTTTGGCAAACACATAAGGTTTATGATTTTATTTGTATTCCTTCTTCCTCATTTATTATCAAATGAACTTTATTTTTAAATTAAATACCTAATTTGTGAGAATTTCAGTTTGCAGAAAAACAATTCCAAATTCTTTTACTGATACTGTTCTACAGAAGCTTGTGATACCAGCTGCATTTTTTAGAAAGCATTTCTTTTATATATACCATCTTATTGATGATTTAAACAAAAAAATGCCTCCCCCATTTTTCTTACAAGCTAAAGGACTACTTACTACTAATTTTGTTTTCAATGAACCTCAGCATGTTAAAAGCTGTACTTGAAAATGTAATTGTGTTACAAAATGCTTTTAGTAGTAATAAGCTTTTGTTTACTCCTTGCAGTCGACCTAAAAGACCTTTTACACAAAGTGAAAATTCCAGACATGAAAAACAAGCTCAGAAGTACCAACACCGTAACAAAAGAGAAGGTAAATGGCATAAACATGGTCGCACTAATGGAAGACACATGGCAAATCTTGAAATAGAATTGGGGCAACTACCCTTCGATCCAAAATACTGAGTAATTTATTGTAAAAATGAAGATTAAAATTCACATGCTCTCTGGAAACTAATTGTTTTTCAACAAAGCAGCAAAATGCAAGGGTTTTTTTTCTGAATAATTTGATTTTTACACATTTTTGTTAACAGGCAGAAGTCAGGCTTTCTGATTTGCATATTCTGTACCGTTGCTTTAACTGTCCTTTGGAAGTAAAGATAGTTTGGGTGCCAGCAGTATTGTTGCAGAAACTAGGCATGCCATGACCTGTGAATGAAAAAATGCTTAATTGCATTCCATTAGTGTAGTTAAAGCTTGAGCCATGCATAATGTACCAACTACTAACTCCAATGTTTGATATACTAACTTCATCTCATCCTTCAAAAATAGATCAACATTGTGGTAATGTATTTGTTAGTGTTTTGTAACCTTATATTTGCTTCCTGTCTTTGGGGGGGTTCAAAAGCCTGTTGAATTGTGAAGAATTTGCTGTGCTGCATTCTAATCAGCGTGCTGATTTAAACACTTGAAATATCTTGCATATCTGCATATTGTAGAAGAAAAATAAAAGAGACATTGTGGGTAAAAGTCTTTATTTATAAAAGAAACTCAGCATAGCTGTACAGTTCTATAAAAACGGTCCAGTCTTGTCTGTATTTTATTGCTTTAGTGTTCATATGGTAATTTTGGTCTTCCTAATGTTTTCTAGTGTTGTAAGGTAGGTCAGCAGCCCCACCCTGCCCTACTGCTACTGAAGCTGCCTTCAGGAGGAGGTTTATGTGTTTGCAGGCAGCCACTGGCTGCCTCATGGGACTTCCCACTGACTCCCCCAGTTTCAGACTCACTGCTTTCTCCTTTCTGCAGTACCAGATGTAAGCATAGCTACTGATATGCAAAACTGATCTCATTAGGTCCGAGGTCCAGCTTGATCTTCAGGGATAATTCATTTCAGTTTTTCTCCTGTAGATGGAGATGTGGCTTCCAACTCGTCCTTGAGGTACATGAGTATGAAAAACAGTGGCTGTTTTCTCATAGCCCCTTAAAGCTAGAAATGATGATATTTCCTGCAAATGAACATACATTAATTGCCACAGTAAGAAAACACAGCTGGGAGCCTAAGAATAGTGTTCCAAAGTCTCTTGACAACCATCAGTTCAGCTGTCCCTGGGAAGCTTTATCCTTTATTTTAGGAAAGCCTGCTAGAAAAAGAAGTACCTATCCTGTTTGATCCTGTCTAGAGCAGATATTCATCAGCCACCATTGTTTGAGTGCATGGGCTTCATTAAAGATTTGAGGGGTTAAAAGGTACTGTGACTGCAGGTGTTTTGAGTTTTCATTGTTGCTTACTTAAAAGTGCAGTTTCTGGGAACAGATGGCACATTTGTTTTAACATGGATGGAGAAGAATTCCATAAACATTACTTTGTGGCCTGAATTTGCACAGAGGAGAGGGCATACATGAACATTATAGCAGTGGAATGATATCAATGATCTTATTATGGGCTAGAGGGGTCAATTTTAATATAAGCTATGTTTTAAAAAGTTGTGAACAACAATTTTCAAAAATTTAAACTATAACTTTCCCTAATTTATCTTGTAACTTGTGCTCAGAAGTAGTTTGTTTCATCTTGCAGTTACCATACCTGTTCTAGCACATTGAAGAGGATCAAGTGACTGGGTAATAACGTGTCATTGTAGAACTCCTTATTCAGCCAGCCAAGTGGGTTAGAGTAAAACACATCTGCTTCATCAACGTAGCTCGCATTGCCAGTTAGGTTTGGGGGACACTGAAGGAATCTCATTTTTAGAGGACAGTGAACATGACTAGAGAGAAAAACAAAAACGTATTTCATGGTAAACTGACAAGAATCAGAGATTTGAAATGACTCATCACTTCAAAAGACACCTCAGTCAAAACAAAAATCAATTTTTTTTTTCCCTCAGAGTAGTATTTTCCTCCCTTCAATACTTCATATGAAAGCAAAGCAGAGCAAGCAGACTCAGCTCCAAACTGCTGGGACTGTGTTGTTAGCAGTTAACAGAAAACACATTTACCTTAGTAAAAATACCATTTGCACAACAGCAGTTTCTTTAAAAGGTATTTTTCTGTATCAGCTTCAGTAGTTATATCTGCTTTAACATTTTGTTTACTTGCCAGGATCTACTGAAAACCTTTTGCAATTACCTAAATCACTGTCATAATGACATTTCTTTACTGCATAGCAGCAGAAGTAAAATTAATACATTTTGATTGTAACAATTAGTGTTTAATTTTGCCAAAAATGTTATCATAATGAAGAAGTGTGACATACTTAGTGAAGTCATTAGGCTTACTGCATATCCTCATACAAAGCTATTTCACAAAAATGAGTAAAGCTTAGATGCTGAATTTTATTCTGTGTTATAAGCATTTGGCTTATGTCCCCTATTCACTCTGTAATAACTGTATGAAAAATCAAAACTCTTCCTGTATACATTTATATATCTCAATTTATTAAGCCTTGGAAAAAAGAAATCTTGATTTCTGATTAAGAGTTTGGATTTTAATGTAGTGCATTGTTGACACTTTTAATACCTGTAAAATGGGGTAGAGTGGCACGGCATCAGGATGAAGACAAAAGCTTGGGACTGCTGAGAGTGATTGCAGAGCTGCTGGATGTGACTCATAACGTCCAGAGTCCCCCGCTGGTGAACCAAGCCTGTGTACAGGGCTGGGACTAAATTGGATAACAGCAGGAAACTTGCTGCAGTTTTCTTCCATGCTTTCAGGTATCTCAAAGAATATCCTATAGAAACATTTGAGTAAGTTTGGGAGATGAACAATTCACACATTTTTGAAAGTGCCCTAATACAGTGGCAAAACATTACTCAGTCAATAACAATACTTTGCTTTGAGATACTTTACTAGAGTGTTGAGTCTTTACTCATTGAAAGGAAATTCAAATGCTTTGAATTTCAAATGTTTTGCTCTATTAATTCTTGGATTTAACAGAGTAAATCTTAAGCCCACGCCTGTCTCCTGAAATACAGAAATACAATTTCAAAACCAGTGCTTTATCTCTTTAAATTTAATTCTTGTAGTGCAAAACAGTCCATTCAGTAGTTTGCATGAATGATATATGGCAACTTAGTGATGTGTTCTGATTCATGCAAGTCCACATAGAGCCAGAATAAATGGCAACTACGTCTGCATGGCTGTGCTATTCTTTTTCTCCCAACTGCTGAAAACTACAGCATTCCTTTATTGTTATTAAATTTTGAGCTTCTGGCCTTGGAAAAGCATACTCCTTCACTTTTTTGCTCATCTCCAATCACTGCCCCTTTTCCCTACTTCGCTTGAAAGAGCTAATAATGGGAAAAGGCACACAATTGTCATGTTTTTGCAGGAATACTTTTATCCATGCTAAGGATTTTTCATCTCTGCTACAGTTACTTGCTCTCCCTCATCCTTTTTCTTTCTCTTTTTAACTAGCTGTAAGAAAAGGCTAGGCTAATTCTAAGAATCCTTTATCAAATACCTACAATGACCATTAACAGTCTCTCTTTGGGTAAAAATTATATCCAGGTAAGGTTGCAAGACATTTGAAACCAATGCTTACCACAAAAAATCATGCAGAATGGCAGTACTGGATAGATGAACCTGAATTCCTTATGGCTCAGTGTGCTGTAATAAAACATACAGTGGTACAGCAAGAAAGTTAAATGCAGTTCTGTTGACAAAATGTGTTGTAGGGCACAGAGGACTGGAAGAGCACGTGCATGTATTAAGAAGCTTTTGGTATTGAAGCAGTTAAGAGTAAAAATCCAAACTGTCACTGTTGAAGAACATAATAAGTACATTCAAATTAAGACTATTTGGTCAGTTTAAACCAAGCACTGTTAAAAATTCCTGGCTATTGCAGTTAAGTGGTCTGATTCTTTGACAACTAGATGTAATTTAGCCAGTACTTCACCAATCTGTTTTCTGTAATAAGACACAATAAATAGTGTGGATGAAAAGCTAAGATTCAACTGCCCATTTGTGTCTAGCAAATTAACATTCACCCCTGCGAATACAAAAATACACAATTTCCCATGACAACTTTTTGGGCTTTTTTGGGGATTGCTGTAACTCTCATGTCTTGGGAATCAATGGGGTTCTTACAAAACTAAGGAAAGCAAAAAAGTCCTAAACCAATAAAGCTACTTCCAGTTTTGAGTTGGAAAGAAGAAATTGCATTTCTGGTCTTGCTACTGTTTTGTTGTAATCTATTACTATGATAGTATATAAGTATTTATTGCTTAGTATTTATTTACTTGCTCTATTTTTTAATGTCTGGAAGTGTCTCTCCTGTTTAATCTACAGATAATTCTGATGCTTTAGATGCTTACCTTTTCTTACACTTCTGAGCTTACAATGAGAAATACAGCCTTTTGGTAGTTAAGAGCTGTGTATAAACTTGTGATGGAGTAAGTTTTAGAGGTCTAAGAATCTCTCATCTTACTGGGGATGTAGTAAAGCACCAAATGAAATGATGTTTTCATTAACCAGCATCTAGTGAACTCAAGTTTTCTAACTAGTTCTATTTTTGTTTAAACACCTGCTGGGTGATTGATTTTTTAAAATTTAATTTAATGATGAATTATTTTATTCTTTAAAGGTCTAATCAATTCTAAAGATACATGTTTGTGACAATACAAGAAACAGTATTACACAAAATTCTAGAACCAGTTTTATAACTGATTGCATTTCGTGGAGTGTTTGAACAGTTTCAAGTTTTCTATCATTTAACTGAATACTACGCTGCTTTGTTCTGGAGAGGACAGGAACTTTGCAAAGAACACAACCAGTGAGAGGCAGCAGTTCCACTCAGGAGAGATTACCTGTACACCAGCAGTGTCCAGATCACTGCCAGCAGAAGGATGCGGTACCGCCTTGGTGCCAGCGCACAGCCGTGAATAAAGAACGGCAGGTGGGGACCCAGGACAACTGGGAGTCCCTGAGTGAAGTACCAGTGCCAAGGGTGAGAGCCATAAAATGTTCCCAAATTCTGCAGCACGTTGAATTTCAAGAAGTTCAGCTGAACCAGTACCCACTGGGAGAGAAGGAGGAGTTAAACACAAATCCACAGTCAAACCCAACAGTTGCACTGAATTACAGTCATCACGGGCCCTATAGAATACATTTTCACTCCTATTTTAGATTTTTTTTTTTTACCAAGACTCAGCATGGACTTCCTATATTTAGCAATTAATTACACAAGTGTTTAAGTTTGTAGTTTGTTGATAACTGTTAAGGACTGTGCACACTGATTTTATGTAACAGTCCATCATTTGAAATACCTGAGAAGTCATTGTTCAAGGGTTTGTGGCTTAGGATATATTTAGAGATCACAGGCCAAACACTGTCACAGAAACAAAAGAAGTCAGAGAAATCTAAAATATCCATCAATGCTAAAATACTAAACCCCAACCTTCTTCTTATAAGTCAAGTTTAAAACAGCTTACCTCACCAAAAAACACACGGTCAATTATTAAAGAGGTTCCTACTGTGACCAATCTGCAAAAATGGAAAGTTTGTTGCACTGATATTGCCTGAATTGCTTTTGTATCTTCTCCAGCCATCAAAACTCTGATTCCTAGTATTTTTGAGTTTATCCATACTCATGGCCACTTGCCATCACCTGGTATCCTTGGTACAATGCCAGATTAAGCTGGAATGCTGCTCATGTCTCACCATCATGAAATCTTTCCTGGTGCTTTTTTGCAGCATATACAACAGTTCAAAGGAAACATGCCCCTTCCTTAAACTTTTGCAAAAGGACTCTATTTATTCGCTTTTTTATTTACATGATATCAGGTTTTTTGGCTTGTCTGCCTTTGCAGTGATAAAACCAATCTTAAGATGTAGCTGTGCACAGTCCCAGTTTAAACTGAGAAAGAACTTACCCAACTGGAATGCAGTTGTGTAGGATAAGGTCTGCTTTCCTCTGTTCTTGCAAAAAATGGCTGAAGACCAAAGGCATCCACGGGATAACAGCAGTGGGACGAATAACAATGGCAAGTGCAACCAAAGCTAAATACTTACAACTAGAAGGAAGAAACATAAAAAACCCAGCAGCTTATCAAAAGGTCTGGTCAATTCTTTTGCAGACAGGGACATTTCAACAACTGTCATCTCTCTGGCCAAAAGTTTTTCATACTGCAGGTAACTTTGACTCTCTGAGTGCAGATACTCTCTCTTGCTTAGAAGGCTGCAACTCTAGAATTGCTTTGTTACAAAGGAGTTTCTAACTAGAGGGACCTACTTTAAAATAGCGAGCGATAAAGAAATTTGTGACCACAAATTCACCTATATCTGACTCTAAAAAGCTTCTGTTGTCTTTTCCTAAGTTACTGTATATTCCAGTGTTTTAAAGTTTAAAATAAAAGCTTCCCATAAAGTCAAACTTTGCAAAAGGAAAGAGCGGAATAGCTAATTTTGCATCCAGCTATAACACAATCTTAAAAAAATATTTAGAGGAAATACTAGAGTGTTCCTTCCATGAGACAGAACTCTTGCTACATGAATGAGCGGGCTTTGGTTGCCTTAGATGTTAAGAAAAAAGTTAGCATTTTAAACAATATCAGTAGATTGGTTTCATCCCAAACCAAAAATTATCAGTACTGTTAGGAGAAAGTTTCTCACCTGTTCCCCATCTTGGAGCCTTTTATCGGATAGTAGGAAAGAGCAAAAATGGTAAGAATAGTCTCCATGGTGTTTGTTAGAGTTCTGGTACAGGAATACCATGTAAACCACGAACAGAGTTGGCAGAAGAACTGAAAATAATTATGAACACATTAAAACAAGTTCACCTAAATGAAGGTGGTAATTCTTCAAGATGTGACATATAATTTTGCACTTATTTACACTCATTTATTTTACAATGCAAAACCAGTGTTTATTAACATGCATAATTTTGTAAAGGCTGTGACTCACCACGAACTTTGCCGTCTCTGAATTTTCAAGGTGTTGCACTAATGAGTAAAGCTTCACATCAGCAAAAGCAGCCAGCACTGCCTGTGCAAGCCTAGGGACCCAGATCTGTGTAAGCAGAGAGAAAACTGTACTTGCAACAAACCATGTTAAATTCCAAGTTTTAAGAGAGGACTGAATTAGTGAATGACTGTTCAAGTATGCAAATAGTGAACTGGTGAGTATTCTCTATAGCTCTTTATGACTTTAAAAATGAAATAGTAAGGGCCTTGGGTAAGGATAGTACTTCTGCCAAAACAGATACTATCTGAAGTTCAACTGAAAGTGTTCAGAGATGGAAAGTAGAATTATCTATCTCCAACAGAAATCAAAAGCTGTTGTTAGTTAGTTCTTGTGGGTTGAGTGCAAATATACATTGCTAAACACTTTGGAATACTGTGCAATTATGACGTAGTGGCAAACACAATCAGTATGAAAATCCAAGAGATTGATGGAGACCTCTACACTTGCAGGCATCAGTGTTGTGACTGGAAATCTATTAATGAGTTCTGCCCCCATGGCAGGTCAGTGGGATCTCTGCTCACACATCCCTAATTGCCAGACTCAAGGCTTAGCATTTTACTTGGACAATGATAAAAATACTCTGTGTTTAAATACAATACTTTAAAATTGAATTTTAGTAGCAGATGCACATTTTTTGGTTATACTCACCAGCAGCTGAACATTATCCTTAGCCAGCAGCTGTAATGCTTTGTACATGCTTGCAAAAATCAGTGGGTACGAGTAGCCCCTTAAGCTACTTGTCCATTCCCAAGTCAGGTAACCATAATTATGAATATTAAGGACAGATTATGACCAACTGAAAGGAAACGTTTCACCCGAGCCATCCGATCGAGACCTTCTGTCCCTTGGGCCAGAGCGGTGGGGTGTTTGTTGCTGTCAAGCCAACACCTGATAGCCGGGGACAGCCGTGCCCGAGCGCTCACCCGCCCACGGCACCGCGGGGGCCGCGTCCCCTCCGGCCCGCGGGGAGCGATGAGAGGGCGACGGGGCTGCGGCAGGCGAAGGATATTTGAAGACCATGCGATGGGCCACCTCCAGCGACTGCCAGTACTCGTCCGGGACGAAGCTGGTCTGGACGAGGAAGCAATTGAGCGTCCGCAGCGCCAGGGCGAACACCAGCAGCGGCGCGGGCGCGGCCGCACCTGCGGGGGCGAGGCTGGTCTGTCACGGGCCCCTCGGGGGCCGCCCCCCAGCCCTGCCCCTCCCCGCCCGGCCCGGCCCCGCTTACCGGCGCGTCGCTGCGCGGCTGTTCCCCCGGCCGAGCTGTACAGCACCGACCGCCGCTTGCGGAGCCGCACCGCCTCCGGCATCCGCGCCGCAGCTCCCCCGCCGCCTCCCCCGCCGGGGCATGCGCGACCGCGGGAGGCGGGACAGCGCCGGTACTTCCGTCCGCTGCCTGCAGCCAGCGGGAAGCCGGGGCTCTGCCGTGTCCCGCGTTCAGGTGAGGGCGCCGGGGCCGCGGGCCGAAGCCGAGCCGGGGCCGCGCCGCGTTGCGCGCCCGCCCGCCCCACGCGTGTCCGTGATCGTGGCAGCACCGCCTGCCGGCATGAGGGGGCGGCTGCCGCTGCAGCACGTGGCGGTGGCCGTGGCGCTCGGCGTGGCCAGCGGGCTCTACATCTACGGGCCGCTCTTCCAGCCGCCCGCGGCCCCACACGGCCCCGCCGCGCCGCCGCCGGACGCCGCGCCCGACAAGAGGCCCTGAGGCAGGCGTGCGGCGCCGTTCCCGGGCACCGCCTCGCAGCCCGGCCCTCGCACGCCCCGTCCGTCGGGGGCAATGGAGCCGCTGGGAGCCGGCGCGACCGTCACCTGCCGGGGCCGCCCCGCCCCAGCCGCCTCCGCTGCCCGGCCCCGCGCTGGAGCCGCCCGCCTGCTGCAGCTGCGTGCCCGCGTGTTTGGTACCAGACCTCGGGACTTTAATGTTGAATCATGGATGACACTCTGAATGTCTGAAGGGCTGTTTCACCTCTGAATTTAAATAACATCAGGAAACTCGAAAAAGAAAGCTGCTGCTATGTGATTATGCTTCATGGGTTTTGTTGGATTGCCTCTGATCTGATCCTCCAAGTGATAAATACCATTTTTCTCTGCTTCTCATGGTGTCAGTTCTTAATACATCAGCTCAGTTGGGAAAGCAGTTGTGCAAGTAGCTGCGAAGGGAACTGCACCCAGCTTTGGCAGCTTATGATCAGACCTGGCCATATGTACATAAACACACGTACCACATGTGCTTATACACAGATTTCATTCCTGACAGAGTGAGGCTACAGTAGATCTTAGAGTACATAAATCTGCCTGGAAAAATGGGTTATACTTGATATGAGCCTCAGTGTGTAGCTCAGGAAGGAAGCATAGCTCTGAGTAGGTGTGGGTTAGTCTGACAGAGCAGAATCTGAGACTTGGGGAAACCAAATCAGTAGATACTTCAATACTTCAGTAATCTAAAAAGAAACCAAACCCAGGAGATCTTGGGACAAACTTATGCCAGGTTTTGGTTTTAACACAGAACATTGGACAGAATGAGGGAAGAAACTAGTTTGTGTGTCTATATTTTAAGCCAGGAACAATGTTGTAGGTGGAGGCAGTGGTATAGAAGCTGAGATGGGAGGACAGCAGTAGAAGGTAGGTTGGGAGGTGCAGTTGAGTGCAGTAAATGCAGTTTGGACATGAAATTACATGGGCAGTGGCTTTAAACTGAAAGAGGGCAGGTTTAGATTAGATATTGGGAAGAAATTTTTTACAGTGAGAGTGGTGAGTCGCTGGCACAGGTTGCCCTGTGGTTGCCCCATCTGTGGAAGTGTCCAAGGCCAGGCTGGATGGGGCTCTGAGCAGCCTGGTTTAGTGGAAGGTGTCCCTGCCAATCACAGGGGGTTGGCACTAGATGGTCTTTAAGGCCCCTTCCAACCCAAACCATTCTCTGATTTTATAAGGAAATGCTACATATTGCCACAAAAGTTCAGTGAAATCACTGAATTATTGCAGTGACTCCAGCAGCTTCAATTTCAGTACCACTAAATATTGAAAAGGTTATTTTGAAGAGGTGTAGCTCAGGTCTAGAAGGCACTTCCTTTGTAAATATAATGACTGGAATTGTCCATAAAGATGGCAGTTGAATTTGAAAAGCCTCAAGAAAGAGGATGTCTGAACAGATGCAGGTAGAAAGGTTATTGATGCAACTGAGCTTAAGACTCTGCTTGCTGAATTCTTGAGACTGCTGGATTTAAAGCGTTTGTTGGGAAGCTGCTGAGTGAAGAGCACTCTTCCCTTGCGGGGGAAGGCAGGCAGCCAGCAGGCGGCAGGAACAGCTCATTAAACCGCAGTGGTGCGCATTAACCAGGCACCGCGGATTTTCGCTGCAAAACCTGTTTTGCCTCTCATGAATTCTTACTAACCGCGCGAGATCTTCCAGAGAGGTGAGGAGGGAAGGGCTGGAGAGCCGGCCCGGCTAACGCCGCAGAGCACCGCGCCGTGCTGCCCTCGGGCCGCGCTCAGCCCGCCCAGGTGGCCGCGGCGGGGCCGGGACACGCCGGGGCGGTGCCGCCCGGCCCGCCCCCACCTCGGGCTGTACGGGAAGTGATGTTGCCTTGACGGAAAAGACACGGTCGGAGCTCAAAAAAAAAGGCAGGTGCGGCGTGACGCGGCTGCGGGAGCCCCGGCGGCCGAGCAGGTAGGGCGGCAGGGGAGGCAGCGAGTAGGGGAAGCTCGGCTCGGCCGGGCTGGCAGAGGGCTTGGTCAGAGCCCCGGGACGGTGTTTCGGGCGGGGAACTCCGGGTACCGGCGCCCCGCGGCTCCGGAACAGCGAGCCGGGCTTTGACAAAGGGGCCTCGCTCGGGAGATGAGAGCGAGCCCTTCGTAGCCTCGGCCTTTGGGCCGCCCCTCAGGTGCTTCCCCTCACGGCTGCTGCCGGCAGCCTTCCCGCGCTGCTGCTGCAGCAGCTGCGAGCTCCCGCCGCTTTAGACCTGCGTTTCTTTTACAGAGCAGAACTGGACTGCATGTCAGGTTTAAATTTTTCAAAAGGCTTTAAGAATGGTCAGTCGTTGTGAGAGCACTATAATAATGTTACATCCGCCTAGCCGGGACTCGGATCTTGTATGTGACTATGAACAGACCTGTTGCTCCTTTCTGAGCATTGCATGTTTGTCTGAGGGAGGCTTCGTGCTGAGAAGGCCCTTCAGCCTGATTTGTAATGCTTGGGCTGAATTTACACTTTGATGATCTTGGGTCTAAAGAAAGCTAAGTCCATTAGAAACACCTATTGATTTTCCTAACTCTGCAAGTAACTAGAGAATATTAATATACAAGTGGTATTTTTGATGGTGCTAGCAAAGTATAAAGGACATGCTTAGAACTGCTGAAACCACTCAGTTTTTCTCTCTTAGATGTGTATCAGGAATATTTTGAGCTTCCTGACTGTATGACTCTTCTAACACTTCCCTCATAGATGGTGCTTAGGAGGTTTTCACAATGGTAACACATACGTGTTTGGGGTTAGTTCTGCAAGGTGATGTGTTGCCACACTTACAGGTTTTTCTTTGAAACTCTACAAAATCTATATTGCCCTTTCTTGGAAACTTAATCTGACATAGACATCTGCACTCAGCCCTTCTTTCTTGTCACAGGCTTTTACTAATTTTGTGAGAGTTCCAAGTGTTTTCCAGCCAGGGAAAAGCATTTACTGCAATATGCATTTCAAATGTTGATAGGTAAATGTAGGAATGATATTTGTAATGCTAAACGAATGTCTCAAAAGCATGGTTAAAAAGAACAGCATGTTCCTGTGTTTCTCGTTCAGGGTTCTGATTTTACATCTACTTAATCTCTTGCACAAAGGAGTTTGGGAGAGAGGGTGTGCTACAACTTACACTGGTTTATTTTCACAGTTAACAAAACTTCTCATGAGCAACCAGATGTCTAAAACCAGACTGTAAGTTTGTTTTATCACTATCATTAAACACAGGAACACATTATCACTTGATTACACATTTCCTTTTCTTTCAAAGAGAAGATAGGGTGAGATAAAAGAATTCTTAAGCAGCATTTGACATTTGCAGAAACAAGTATTATGTGCAGTAAGGCCTGTGTGCCTTTGAATTCTTGGTTGTGCTGTTCCTGCCAGGTATCTGCCATGCTGGTAAATGACCAGTGATAGGTCTGTCAGTTTCCAGCATAACTCTGCACTTGCAGATCAACAACATTTCTGGGATCAGTCTGTCACAGTCAACAGAGGTGGTTAGAATTTAATTTAATCTGAAGAAACAGGCAAAATTGTACTAGAGGTGGAATATATAGAATGAGAACTCCTTTTCTCCTGTTGATGTCTCAGCAAATAATTAAGTTGCATTTATAAATAATTAATCATCAAATATTTCCATCTGTATTAAATCTGCATTATTGTACTCTGCACATGTGGTTGGTCCTTAGATACTTATAGGTGAACTTTTCCTGGGCTGGGCATGCACAGTGCTCTGGAACTTGCTTTTGTAGATACCACCCAGTGCTGCAGATGCAATCTTTGAGTTTACTGGCTTCAAACATGCCTAAACAAGTTGTTTAAGTACAGCATAGATAGATAAATTCTAACCTAAGAGGCAGCTTTTGTAACAGAAACACTTTTTTTTTTTTCCTGTTTATACAGTTATATTCCCAATCAGTCTTTCTCTGGATGTAGCATCTGGTTATGAGGTTCCTTTTCCTCATTTCTTTTTTTCTCTCCTTAGTCAACTGCATCCCTGTCAGGAGGCAGGACTGACTTGAACCATGTTAAATCAGCTGAGATCACTTCATGATTTAATGAGACTTTTATCTCCAGTGGAGCTTTGTGAATAAGTCCTAGCCCTGCCTTTCTTTTCTGAAACACCCTTACATTGTTGTATTTTCATGCATAAATCAGCAGAATTTACTCTTGATTTATAGTAATAAGTAGTCTCAGTGCCTGTGATTTATTTTCCAATCTAATAAGCCTTATGACATGTAGATTAAAATATGACCTATAACCAGCATACTTTTTTCCTGTGGTGTTGGTGTGGCTTCAAAGGGCTGGGGATGCTTTGGGGGGTGTGTGACAGTTTTGCATATCCTGGGTGGTGGAATTCTTCTCACGTACTGGTGCATTTCAGCGCTTTGGAGCTGACCTAACAAGTTCTTCAATATTTCAGACTACAGGAGGAAAAAAAACCCAGGCAAATGTCCTTGCTTCTATAGCTCCGAGGATAATATCAAAGTGTAAACCAGTGCAGTGATATTTTCCTGAGTCTGCAAACCCATTTCCCATAGGTGTTTTCTTTCTCTATGTCTGATACTTTTACTGATGAGAAATGGGTAAGAATCAAGCATGTCAGGAAAAGGCACTTCTGGAAGACAACGTGAAGTCTGGTAGTAAGGTAGCAAAGGGACAGGAAGCAGCAGTGAAGATACAAACTCAGCAGGAGTACAGCTTTTCTAGAAATCTGTGATTTGCAATGGACAAAAGCAGTTGGTTAATATGTAACCAGTGTTTTAAAATGAAAAGCCAAGTTTGTGGGCACTTGCAAAAGTATTTTGAAAATAACTAACTTCTGCAGTAATTCTTTGTGTCAATGTGATATGTGAATGAAAGGACTGTAAGGAGTATACCTTGCTGAAATATTTTATGTGCAAATAAAACACTGGATGGGTATAAGGACACTGCTACACAAATCAAGTAGCTGAGTCCAAATTAAGTTTGGAGATTGTGACTGCAGTTTTGCAGCTGTGTACTGCTATTGGTTTAAAAGGTGATAACAGGATAAAGGAATAAAGAGGAAAGTAGATAAAAACTGACTCTTCAGTAATACTTTCAGGTAAGGAGAGCTCCATGTGTAGAGGCAATGCCTTTTATTAGAGCAGTTTATTTAGCTGGAAACTATAGGCTTTCAGGTATGTAAGCTCCTTTCAGGTTTGAATTGGAAACAACAAAATGTATATCAAAATTGAAAACAGATGCACAATTTTTATAATACTTTTATTATGCTTTTGCCATTAGAAGGTGATGAAGGTTCTCTGGAGAAGTGCTGTTGTCCAAAGTCAGCCCAGTCTCACTCTTAAGGCCTGGCTCATTGTTTTCACAACTGTGATATTTCATTTGGTTCCCTTATCCCCCTAAGACTGTAAGGAAAATGATTGCTCTGTGAACTGAAAGGAAGAAAACAATTCATTCCAGTAACATCCTTGGGGAAAGGGAATATTTGAACTAGACTGAAGGCTGCTAGTGGTGATAAGGACTAATAGAGCATGTATGGTGGGTAGGGGGGAAAGAAAACTTCATTCATTTTTATGAATAAAAATGCAAGTTTTCTGTTTTTCTCCTATGTCTCCACCAGTCTTGCTAGTATAGTATTTTATGTTGGTAGCTGCTGAGGGAAATGACCTTCTCCAGGAGATCCCTGCTGACAATTGTGTGACTGTCATGGAGTGTGGTGCATTTTGAGAATTTCAGGGTGTCACTCAAGGCTCACAGTTGTGGGACTGCTTGTGCTGTGAAATGGTTTTATGCAAGGTTTGCATGAGATGATTTGCTGCTACAGTTCTTGCCAGTGGCTGGTGCTTTCATGTCTGCTTGGAAACCTAGATAACATTCAGAATGCAGATTATAGCAAAAAAACCCTGGATAATTGGGGTCTTTTTATGGTGGCTTGTTTTTTTTTTTTTTGTTTGCAAAGGCTAATCATAATTCTTCCTCCCCCAAGCCCGCTTGTTTTGTTTTAACCAAGCTTTATGCATGACTGAATGTGACCCAAAATACAGGTGTCAGGGCACTTCTAGCCCTGCTGGTATTATCCATTTCCAACAGATTTTCTCATGCAGCACTTTCAGATCCTGTGCACGTAACTGCACATGCTCCACTGACTCTCTCCTCTAACACTGATTCAGCTTGACAGGTCTTTTCTGTCAGGGCATGAACTGTCTGACTAATACTTAATTTTTCCATATTTTTTCTTGGAATGGTGTCAGAATAGACATCTCTGTACAGAGATGGTGTTAACCAAGTTTGAAGATAGTACTGTCTGATTTGTGTTTCTTCTGAATTTCATAGCAAAATTCTCATAATTTTAGATTGGATAAATATAAATTGGAGTTATTAAATTAGAGTTGTTAAAGTAGTAGTTTCTAAAATGTTCTTTACCTATGAAATGGAAGAGGTGAATATAAATCTTCATTTGATCATTTTCTAGAATTGTCAGTTTGGATATAGCCCACAGGGCTGGAGATCCTGCTGTGTGTCAAGAGGAGCTGCAGAGCAGGCTGTGTTAGGCCTGTGAAAAGAGCATGCTGCAAAAGTGGAATTGTGCTTTTTAGTAGGTTTTGAAACAGAAGACAACTCCTCCTCTCCCAAATCTGAACTGCTGATATGGCAAAATCCCACTGGTTTTATTTAATTCACTTTTTAATAATAGATGTGCTTAAATTTAATTTGCTTTTAAAATACATAATGTCTTTTAAATCCAACTTGAAAGTAAATGTAAAATTGAATGACTGTCACAGTATGTGCTGCAGCAGGTACAACCTGGGCAGCTGGTGGGTTTCCCTTGCAGACCTGGAAACTCTAACTGCCAGCTTCCAGGGGAGGCACACATCCCACTCTTCCCTTTATCCAGGCTTCCATTTTCTTGCCATTTTTTCACACAGTGCTCAGGAAGTTCAGATCTTTGT